GGTGCAACTTTGGTTATTCATGGCTAAGATTATCCAGCATTGGGTTAAAAGACATTCATTTAACCTAAACACGCTCTATCCGAAGGTGGCTCTCATGGTGGCTGCTGAATTCTGGGAGCAGGGAGACCTGGAGAGGACTGTGCTAGACCAACAACCCATTGTAAGTTTGTGGAGATCAGTTTTGCTTTTAGAAAGGTCGCATTGTGATAAAAGTAGTGCTTGAATGAGAATACGTATCCTTTGAATCTTTTCTCAGCCCATGATGGACAGGAACAAGTCGGATGAACTTCCGAAAATGCAGTGTGGTTTCATTGACTTCGTGTGCTCGTTTGTGTACAAGGTAAATCCACCCAACTGTCAATCAATTTTGTTTTTGCACAATCCAGACATCCATGTAAATGGGCATCTGTCCATAATGGCCTCTTCCTGGCATGTCAGCACAACATTGCTTAAGTGTTCTGACAGGGAATGATGGATCGGCAGTTACTGGTGTGCTTGTGAATGCTTGCAGTAACAGGCCTCTTTTCTTGTACAGGAATTTTCAAGGTTCCACAAAGAGATCACTCCCATGTTCGATGGTCTGAACAACAACAGGGTCCATTGGAAGGAACTGGCTGATATTTATCAAGCAAAAGTAGACGCAATAGAGAATGAACGAAAACGACTAGAAGAGGAGCAGGCTAAAAAAGGTATGTTGGACCCAATAGTTGACATCTTTTTGTTCGTTTGTGGACAGGGATTGTAGATTAAAGGGATAGTTCACCCAAAAAATGAAAATTCTGTCATTAATTACTCACCTTCATGTTGTTCCAAACCTATAAGACCTTCGTTCATCTTCAGAACACAAATTAAGATATTTTTGATTAAATCCGAGAGCTTTCTGACCCTGCGCTCCGAAACAATGCAACGCAACTGAAATATTCCCAGGCCCAGAAACGTAGCAAGGACATCTGTTTGTCCATGTGACATCAGTGGTTCAACCGTAATTTTACGAAGCTATGAGAATACTTTCCGTGTGCAAAGAAAACAAGAATAACTACTTTAATCAACAGTTCTTGAATGAAGATGAGCAAAGTTTGGAACGACATGAGGGTGAGTAATTAATGACAACATTTTCATTTTTGGGTGAACTATCCCTTTAAGCAGATCAGAAAATGGCAAGGGATGCAAAAAAAGAGACCCTTTCCAAAGGTAAACTTTTGTACCTTACTTACCCCTAAAGGGTGCATAATAGTACCCAGATTCGACATATTTGAACCTTTTGAAAGTGTTTATGGCATACCTTGTGCTAATCCGACCTCATAGCCTTGGGGGAACGGTCATAACTTTGCAGCAACTTGATTTTCTGTCATCTATTTTTTTCTTCCCTGAAGCCACTGGTGAGGATGGTGGAGAGGGAGGAAAGTCCAAAACCTGTACCATATTTTAAACATCATCTGACAGAAATTCAGAGCCACAGAGAAGTCTGGGCCCGCATGTAGAGGGAGGTGAAACGTGCTCCTAGGACCACTACATTCTCATCAGCTTTCTGTCTCATTTCCTCGGAAGTACCTTCTCCAAGTGAACATGTAGGCATTCACCAGAAATGGAAGAACTGTACCTGTCAGATGTTCTTTCTGATGGGGTGCCAGCCTAGAGCACCATGTAGACAATTTCAAGCTTGTTCCTAATCACTGATTTCACCTCGACTGTACCTTTTAACAACTAACTACGCTGGAGGAAGTACTGCATATGCAACTTGCCACACAGTGGTGGCCGAAAACACAACTCTACAAATGTTTATAGTGCTGTAGTTCACAGAGCTTACCTGAAGTACGGCTTTTGAGTCCATAACCGTTCTCAAGATGTAAACAGCATAACATTAAGAATTAGAGCAATACGTATGAACGACTTTCTTACCAGTTGCTAATTTCTCAAAATAGCATACTTCTCGATTTCATAGGAGTTCCAATTTGATATTTATTCTTTTGATGAATTCACTGAATCACACTTAATGGTGAAGTGTGTAATTTCTCCACCAAGTGAGAATTGCAAAAATGCTGACTGTTTTCGAACAAGTTTCCTCAACGCACCCCTCATCTGTAATTGGTCAAACACACAGATAGCCCCGCCCCCAAACAAACACCATTGCTGTTTCTGTTGTTGGGCTGCCTAATGTTTTAATAGCAGAACACTTTTTTTTTTCTTTTGTGAAATCAACTTCTTTTAGATTTCTCTGCATATTAACTTGGGGTTAAAGCATTTTAACATCACATTAAATTACACACTTCACTTTTAAACTACAGCAATGCATATTTTATTACATTTCAGTTGCTTTGTTTAGGGTTGAAGGACCAGCTCATTTGAATAAGCTTTTAGAAGCTGATTGCTTACTAGCAAGCGCTTTGTGAAATGTACAAAGATCTCATGCTACAAGTTTTGCACACTGACTACGAGTTGTTCAAAGGAAAGATGGCACTGCCAAGGCTAAAGATCTAGTAACTTGCATTTGCATCTGCTTGTCGCAGTTGTGTTTGGATGGATGTCTTTTCTACTTTTTTGTTCTCTAAAGAAGATGAAGCTGAGAATGCGATATGGCTAATTCTATGAATATGTGGAGAACATTTATGACCACAACTTTGATGTTTGTTATTTAATCATTTATTGATACCTTAGCGTCACACATAGTTTTCAACCATAATGTATTATTGAATATGAGTGTATTACATAGAATATCAAATGATAACATAGAGGTATTTGTTGATACCAAACATTTAAATAATGTTTAAGTGGTATTCTATGGAGACGTGAGCAGGGCATACAAAACGTCAGGGGATATTTAAAGAAAGTGCATTGCATGCTATGACAAGGCAAGGGGGAACGGTCAGTACTTGAACATGTAAACCTATAAGGAGATTTGAAGTGAGTTTGATGGGGGAGCAGCTCCTGAGATTCACTCCATTTTAATCTTTAAATACCATGCTTATTTAAAGCAGACTACTGAAGCCTCTAGATATCTCCTCTGGCAGACAGCACAAACCCAATTCGTGAGGTCAAAGTCTCTCTTTTCTGATCTTTGGAGAATCTGATGACAGCAGTAACTGTTAAACTAGCGAATGAACCACTGATATCAAAAATAGGTCATTCTGCTTTAGAAAAACACCAGGCACCGACAAAAACAAGTAACCTATGGAGAGATGTAGTAAATGCAATCTAATGCAATATCCGCTTGTTAGAAAAATCAGTTAAGGCCTTTAATCCAATAACAGGGGCCACGGCAGTCTAAATAACTTCACTGGAACTAGTGACTACACTTAAATGTCAAACCCTCTAAGTCCAGATCAGACTGAAGAGGCCAAAAGTGAGTCAATCTCATCTCAGGTTAATGCATTTTGCTAGGATTGTGTATAATAATATCTACTGGCATTTGGAGTGAGTGTGGGACTGATATCCGGTCATCTTATTTACTTAATACTACCACACATATACTGTAAATGATGTCATGTGAACAAATAAAGACATTATTCTGAACTTTCCAGAGTCTCAAGTAGTCTTTGACCATATCCGCTATTAGCTTGAGGTCTCTGTGAGTGGACAGTTCTGTTAGGTTGCTTAGAGGGCATGTCAGGAGGAACCTCTCCTGACTTTTCTATCATGCAGCGGATTACTTAATAAAGCTGGATCATCCCCAGGTAAAGAGGCTCAGGTAATTGGCTGACAGCCGAGACAAACGACTTCTCTTTCTATGGGTCTTTCAATATAGAGCCAAAGGCTTCATGTTTAACTTTTATAACTCTAGACTCCACCTGTCATTTTATGATTTGTGGAAACACAGAAATGCATCAAAAATGCAATCACATGGGAACTTATACATATTATACATGCTGAATAACGGATCAGAGTGAACAAAAGGCTTTCTGACCCCATCTGACTGATTCTTCACATTGATTGGCTGGCAGCCACCACTGGGTAAGCCGAGGCCCGGGGCAGTTTGACAGTCTACCGTGACCAAGTGAGCTTGCCCTGAGAGGCTGACGTGAGGGGTATAAAATAGAAAGTCTGTCCATTTTAAAAACCCAGTGCTAATGTGTTTGTGATTTCAAGGCATAAGGGACAACAGCACGTCTGTCATTCTGTCAACATTTAATGGGTCAGATTATACAAACATTGATAGGGTCTGCCTGTAGCTTGTTAAGTAACTATGGGTTCCTAAAATACTGTTATTGACTGCTGTACTTACAGGAACCCAAATATCTCTTCAGTATAATTATTTGAGCTCACTAAACATTAAAAGTAAGTAAACAAACACTTATACTGATAAACACTCATTCATACAAAATCTGAGCAGAACAAATATTTCCACGAATCAGTCATAAAACTATTATATCAGATGTTGCATGTATACATAAAAACGATTTTACAAGCGCTTTATAATTTCATTTTTGTGCAATTATGTCAATTGCAAACACACACACACACACATATATAGATATATATTAGTGCTGTCAAACGATTAATCGCGATTAATCGCATCCAAAATAAACGTTTTTGTTTACATAATATATGTGCGTGTACTGTGTATATTTATTATGTATATATAAAGACACACACATACAGCATATATTTTGAAAATATTTACATGTATATATTTATATTCATATAAATTATATCTCATATAAATATATTTAATATATAAACGTAACACATTTTTCTTAAATATATACATGCATGTGTATTTATATATATACATAAACACACAGTACGCACACATACTTTTATTTTGGATGCGATTAATCACGATTAATCATTTGACTGCACTAATATATATCATTTTATACACACACACACATACATATAATTTTACAAATAATACAAGTGTAATATTGCTCATATATACACAATTAATTTTTGTATAATTTTGAATGTGTGTTCACAAGGCAAACTGACATAATACCTTTATGAATATATATATATATATATATACATACATATACACATACACACACACAAATGTGGTAATGTTTTATGAATAAGGCCTACACATGCACATTTTTATGCTTGAATGAAACCCAGTAGAAATTATTACAAAAATGTACATAATAATCACCAAATTGTAATCAAACTACACTTCTCAAAAACAAAGCTAACAGTTATAAAAGAAAACCGTAGGCATGAGATTCTCTTGGATCTTCCTTTCCTTCGACTCAGAGAAACATGTCTTCAAAATATTCGTCAAACTCTTCCTCCCTGAAAGAGAACCAGACGTTTTTAGAAAAACATTCCCAGCATTCAAGAGCTTTAGAAACACATTTCTCACATTTGTGTGCATATATACTCCACATTGTAGTAAAATATATCGTAATGATTCATAAACAGGACTCACCGTGACTTCTCCTCCACGGTGGGCGCTGGACCCCTCCAGTGGTCTGACTCTGAAGGACCCTCTTCCTCTTCTTCTCCACCCTCTGCATCTGGAGAACACACCGCATCAGCAGGATTTATGCCTGATAAAGGTTTTGTGGTAAAAGAACTACTCAGTGTGGGGTGAGTTACATGCCCACGTGCAATATTTAAGGTCAGGGATTGATGCCCCATCCAAAATCTGCTATTACTTGGGATTTGTCTGAATAAAGATAGTTAGTTAGTTGTTTCAGAGGTCTAGTTATTAAGCTATACTGAGTACATTCTCTGCCTGAGGGTGCTAGATGACAGCCATTAGTCATTTTTGGTGGAAAAAGTGGTATGCATACCTTTATCTGAACCCTGGGACTCCTCTGAACTTGAAGATGAGTATTCTGTACAGAAAAAAATGGTTTTATTTAACAAGCAACTTTGGTCAACATAAACTCTAGAATTTAAACCAAGTTTGCATTCCTTTGTTTAGTTTTTTTCTGGTTCTCTTTTAAAGACCTTAACTAGAGTATAAAACACCACCGCAAAAATACAACAAAGTTAAGGATATACAGGCAGTGAAATGCTTTTCCTAAACTTCCATGTCTTGGGAAATGTTTGGAAGCTTGATTTGCAATGAAAATGTACTTGCCTTTGCGCCTCTTTTTGTGTTTGCGCTTGTGCTTTCTGGATGATTTGGATGTCTTTGACAGTGACTTGTCCACGTTCTCTTTTGATCGCCGTCTCTTCTTCACTGTTACTTCCTTTCTCCTGGAACAGGTATCACAGTTTAAAAGTCGAGGTCTCCAGGTCTAAGAATATCTGAACGTGTAATTGTGTTTGTAATGGCTGAATGTTCTTACTTGTGATGATGGTTTAGTTTAAAGGAACACTCTGGACACAGACCTTGAAAATAATGTGACGATAGGTCAATATTTAAAAAGACTGAAACAAATTCCTTTGACTTTATCTGAATTAAAAAAAAATGAACGCAACATTTACAATGTATTAATGCTGATTGAGTAAACCATGCACATTGGGGTTCCTAAATAAATACAATATATATATTTAAAGGGTAACAATATTTTACAATATTACTTATTTTTGATCAAATAAGTGCAGCTTTAATAAGAGACATCTTTCAAAAACATTGGAACACCTTAAGTATTCCAAACATTTGATGATATATGTATATTAAAAAAAAGGACGAATTTTTATAAATAAAGGACAACTAGTCGACAGCAACTTGAACAGAAGCCCACATTCATACATGAACAACCCTGAGGAGGAGAGAAACAGGTTTGTTTGTTTGCTGATGTGCTCATATTGGTCCAGCTGCAGTTTAAAGTAACCCAGCTTTTATTATTAAAGGGATAGTCCACCCCAAAATAAAAAGGTCTCATGTTTCTATCTTCTGTAGAACACAAAACAAGATATTCTGAAGAGTCTTAGTAACCAAACCATTTTGGGTCCCATTGACTTTCATAGTATTTTGTATTCATGCTATGTAAGTCAATGGGACACAAAACCATTTGGTTACCAACATTCTTCAAAATATCTTCTTTTGTGTTCCACAGAAGAAAGTCAGTCATACAGGTTTGGTACGACAAAGGGAAGTAAACGGAAATAACTTTTTTAGCTGAACATTTATGTATTTGCAGTTTTGTCTCAAAGTTGTTTTACAGTAAAATGTGACAAACATCCCCTACCATCAATACAGCTGTAAGTCACAACACATTCATTTCTGACTCTGTTTCCAACCCAGATATGAATTCAACACAGACAAGCAGATTGTCATCCTGAAATTCACAGATCTGGATGGGGATGGTATGGGCTTGCTCAGGTATAATATAGCATTTACTTTGGAAAGTCTTACGGTTCAGTGCAAACATAGCAAGATCTTATGGTCTTCAAGGTAACTGACTTCACTAAATACATTGATAATAAATGCAATGCATTCATTTATTGGCTATGTATCTGTCCTCAGCTGGTTTGCTGTTCATCCCGTCAGTATGAATAACACCAATCGCATGGTGAGCTCGGACAACCTCGGCTACGCCTCCTATGCCTTCGAGCAAGAGAAAAACATTGGCTTTCTACCCGGTGAGGTAAAAGGTCAACCTTTTAATTACAGCTTTCCCACTGAGCCCCATCTTCAAGGTTAATTAATTGTCTTTATTAGTTGTAATCTACTTGAGTTCACAAGGACATTTTGCCGTTCAATAAAGCCAATAAATGCTCTAAACACAGAGGAGGTTTACTGAAGATGTTAATTAATGCTGGTATTATGCAAGATCTGTAACATTTCTGTTGCTTATGTCGGCAGTTATCTTTAATAGACTTTTTGACTCAGGGACAGAATGAAAAGCTCCGCACTAATGCGTCACACTCTGTGTACCTCCAGGGTCCTTTTGTAGCCGGCTTTTCCTCCAGTAATCTTGGAGATTCATCTCCCAACATTCTCGGCCCCGTCTGTGTGAACACAGGCGAGAAGTGTGACTACCTTAACAGCTCCTGTCCCATCGGTGGAGTGAGTTATTATTATAAACATGCATTATATTAACAGGATTGTTCACAATTTACTATAGACTTGTACTAAGAATACCTTTAATTTACTATTTCATTTTTACACACAATATGTGGGGTATTAAGGACACGGTATGTAAAATTTATACATATATATATAGATATATATTAGTGCTGTCAAACGATTAATCGCGATTAATCGCATCCAAAATAAACGTTTTTGTTTACATAATATATGTGCGTGTACTGTGTATATTTATTATGTATATATAAAGACACACACATACAGCATATATTTTGAAAATATTTACATGTATATATTTATATTCATATAAATTATATCTCATATAAATATATTTAATATATAAACGTAACACATTTTTCTTAAATATATACATGCATGTGTATTTATATATATACATAAACACACAGTACGCACACATACTTTTATTTTGGATGCGATTAATCACGATTAATATATTAACTTCATTAATATATATAATTTTATACACACACACACATACATATAATTTTACAAATAATACAAGTGTAATATTGCTCATATATACACAATTAATTTTTGTATAATTTTGAATGTGTGTGTTCACAATGCAAACTGACATAATACCTTTATGAATTTATATGAATATATATATATATACATACATATACACATACACACACACACACACACACAAAATGTGGTAATGTTTTATGAATAAGGCCTACACATGCACATTTTTATGCTTGAATGAAACCCAGTAGAAATTATTACAAAAATGTACATAATAATCACCAAATTGTAATCAAACTACACTTCTCAAAAACAAAGCTAACAGTTATAAAAGAAAACCGTAGGCATGAGATTCTCTTGGATCTTCCTTTCCTTCGACTCAGAGAAACATGTCTTCAAAATATTCGTCAAACTCTTCCTCCCTGAAAGAGAACCAGACGTTTTTAGAAAAACATTCCCAGCATTCAAGAGCTTTAGAAACACATTTCTCACATTTGTGTGCATATATACTCCACATTGTAGTAAAATATATCGTAATGATTCATAAACAGGACTCACCGTGACTTCTCCTCCACGGTGGGCGCTGGACCCCTCCAGTGGTCTGACTCTGAAGGACCCTCTTCCTCTTCTTCTCCACCCTCTGCATCTGGAGAACACACTGCATCAGCAGGATTTATGCCTGATAAAGGTTTTGTGGTAAAAGAACTACTCAGTGTGGGGTGAGTTACATGCCCACGTGCAATATTTAAGGTCAGGGATTGATGCCCCATCCAAAATCTGCTATTACTTGGGATTTGTCTGAATAAAGATAGTTAGTTAGTTGTTTCAGAGGTCTAGTTATTAAGCTATACTGAGTACATTCTCTGCCTGAGGGTGCTAGATGACAGCCATTAGTCATTTTTGGTGGAAAAAGTGGTATGCATACCTTTATCTGAACCCTGGGACTCCTCTGAACTTGAAGATGAGTATTCTGTACAGAAAAAAATGGTTTTATTTAACAAGCAACTTTGGTCAACATAAACTCTAGAATTTAAACCAAGTTTGCATTCCTTTGTTTAGTTTTTTTCTGGTTCTCTTTTAAAGACCTTAACTAGAGTATAAAACACCACCGCAAAAATACAACAAAGTTAAGGATATACAGGCAGTGAAATGCTTTTCCTAAACTTCCATGTCTTGGGAAATGTTTGGAAGCTTGATTTGCAATGAAAATGTACTTGCCTTTGCGCCTCTTTTTGTGTTTGCGCTTGTGCTTTCTGGATGATTTGGATGTCTTTGACAGTGACTTGTCCACGTTCTCTTTTGATCGCCGTCTCTTCTTCACTGTTACTTCCTTTCTCCTGGAACAGGTATCACAGTTTAAAAGTCGAGGTCTCCAGGTCTAAGAATATCTGAACGTGTAATTGTGTTTGTAATGGCTGAATGTTCTTACTTGTGATGATGGTTTAGTTTAAAGGAACACTCTGGACACAGACCTTGAAAATAATGTGACGATAGGTCAATATTTAAAAAGACTGAAACAAATTCCTTTGACTTTATCTGAATTAAAAAAAAATGAACGCAACATTTACAATGTATTAATGCTGATTGAGTAAACCATGCACATTGGGGTTCCTAAATAAATACAATATATATATTTAAAGGGTAACAATATTTTACAATATTACTTATTTTTGATCAAATAAGTGCAGCTTTAATAAGAGACATCTTTCAAAAACATTGGAACACCTTAAGTATTCCAAACATTTGATGATATATGTATATTAAAAAAAATCATCAATCAAATGCGTGTGTGTGTGTGTGTGTGTGTGTACATCTATATATATATATATATATATATATATATATATATATAT